ATCTTCATAGAACTTTGAATGGTTTTCTGAAATGAAACCTGATACTTAGTTTGTGTTAGTGTTTTTCATTTAGGTTTTCTCACTGTGTCCTTTTTCTCAGTCCATAAATATTTTAAGCCTCTATATTGAGATTGGAAGGTAAAGAATTTTTTTATTATCTGTTATGTGCCAGAGTTAATCACAAATACAATTTAGTTATGTCTTCATAGCACTGCAGTGGATGTTCCTAGTTCCTAATTAAGAAATAGAAAAACATAAGGATTTCTAGAATTGCCCCAAGATCTACAACTCAGGGCGGACCTAGATCTGCCTGATTCCAAGGTCTATGTTTTTACACTTTATGATAACAATTTCACTTCAGCCTACTATTATCCTCTATATGAATAAACAAGTCTCTTGAGTTCTTTCTTGTAATCTGCTTTACATCTTTCTGTTCATCCTTTACCTCCAAACTTTATTCATTTGTTTTCAGAGAACTCCCTTAACCCTGTCTTTCATTTCAACACAGTGTCACTTGGCCTCCTGTAATTCACTCGTGCATCACATTTTCTTAGCGCATGGCGAGCAGTAGATACCTGGGAAGTAGCCCTGGACCAAGAGAAGCTCCACAGCCTGGTGGATTTAGACAGACCAGAGTAGGTGCAGTGCAGTGTGCTGAGGACCTGGCAGTTAGATCCAGTGCTTCATTAGTCCTTATTGGAGCTTTCTTGCACCATGCTCCCCAAAAGACAAGTGCCTCTTAACAAAATTTTCTTTCACTTTGATAGCATTCCTCACTCCTGATTTTCTATTTCACTTTCATAAAATTTCTTTTGCTTCTTTCGTCCATGTCCTCATTTTAAATCTTTCCTATTGCACACTGGATATCTTTGCTTAGATATTATAGGGTTTTAGCAAAGGCCTGCTGCTTTCCTCAAGAAAATAGCATTAACCTAGTTATTCATATTAATATTTTGGAAGCATTGTGTTTCTCTCACACAAAAAAAAATGTGGTAAGTGTTGGAAAAAAAGTATCAAAAATGCATAAAAAGGATCACAGCCTGATAAAGTTGTCAGCCACTCTGACTGCCTAACTGTAGCAGTGTGTCCTTTTCCTCTTGTCTCAGTTGTGCCTTCCAGGTAACTGTAGCGTGTGTGTGTATGTGTGTGCACACAATGCATACATGTGTTTTATTTTTAGTTTTCATGCTATTATTTATGCAGTCTTGCTACCATAGGCTGGCTCCTAAGAGTGTTCACCATCTGCTTCTCTTTTCCTGTAGCTACAGTGCTTAGTCTAAGAGGTCACTTGGTGAATATTGGATGAGTGACTGTTATGCAGAAAATCCTGGCTTTTTCCCACTCCAAGGAAGTATTAACTTTCATTCAATAGGTATTGTGTCTACTGTTTATTTCTCACTAGCTTCTCTCATTTTTAAGTTATAGTGATGTAAAAATTATAACTGTGTCTGTTTTTAAAATTCTGATTTTCCTTACCTCAATATATGCGCTGAATTTTGTTTTTCCAAATTCTAATACCCAATATCTTAGAGTGTGACTATAAATGGATAAAGGTCTTTAATGAGGTTATTAAATTAAAATGAAAGCATTAAATGGAGGTTAATCCAATATAACTGGTGCACTGAGATTAGGACACAGATATAATACAGTGGAAAGAGCATTTGAGAATGGAGGGAAAGCCAATGAGAGAGGCCTCAGGAGGAACTGATCTTGCTGGCACCCTGATCTTGGGCTTCTTGACTGCAGAACTGTGAGAAAATATATTTCTGTCGTTTAAGCCACCTAATTTATAGTGTTTTGTTATGTAGCTTTAGCAGACTTAACACAGGTGAGTTCCTAGTTCCTAGGGGTTTTAACTCCTGTACTTGGTTACTTTATTCTTGGGGAAAGGGTGGACCTAGTGATCTAATAGATCCTCTCCTCCTGTCTTATATTTCTTTCACATGTTTGAAATTTGTTCTGAGAAAATAAGACCATCCTTATCATTTTATGCTAGAAAACATACATGATGAGCTACTCAACAGTGACTCCCCCATCCATGTCTTTTAAAATAATTCATCTTCATTTATTGTATTGATTTAGGCAGGGAATGAGTTGAGTATTTTTCATGCTGTCATTTTGATAGCTAGAGTACAGTAGGTTCCCATGGCTATGGCAAACTAGTGCCAACAACAGCTTTAAACTTGCTGAGAAGGTATTTACTGCAGTGAATTGTGTGCTATTTTACAGCCTTTCTGGAGGTTCCTACTGTAGAAAAAAATAACATTGAATCACTAAATTTGGTTTATTCAAATTTTCCTCATCCTGTTTCATACTGTCATGTTTTCAACCTTAAAATGTTTTTCTCTCAGCCAGGCGTGGTGGCTCATGCCTGTAATCCCAGCATACGGGAGGCTGAGGCAGGAGATCATTGTGAGTTTGAGACTAGCTTGGGCTACAGAGTGAGCTCAAGGCCAGCCTGAACTGCATAGTGAGACCCTGTCTCAAAAAAACAAAAAGCAAAACAAAAAAGCCAAAGTGTTTTTTCTCCTCCATCCTTAACCCCCAACCCTTGTCTAGTCTTATATCCAGCTCCTCTGTAGTGGTTGTTGTTGAAGTAGCAGAATTGAATTTGTTGAGTGTATTAGAGACTTTGTTGAAAAAGAACATTTGAATTTTACTTATCAGTTCAGATCTTTTTAATCATCCCAGATTACATAACAGTCTCAGACTGGTCAGAGACCTTGAGAAAGTTCATCTGATTGCCTTCTTGTATTGTTAGGTGGATGTGAGTCCATTTTAGAATCCAGAAAGAGAACCTACAATCCTTTTTTATGAACTAGCAATTTAATTTCAAGGTTTCCTCTTTACTCTTCATACTACAATTCTGAATTTATCTTGTTCTAGTTTATAGAGTTAAGCAAGCGGAGCTAGTTACCATCTTTAAGATCTCATTCATAGACTTATTAAATTGTCTTTTTACCTTCTGTTTTCTACATTGAGCTTTATTGGTTCTTCATCCATATGGGACTTGTGTAAAATATGTAATTATATATAAGACATCATAAAAATTGCCTAGGTCTTTGATGGTGAAGCCAGCAGTGGTTGAGCATTAGTCTTGCAAGAAAACAGTTCCTATACTCTATTCTGTAAATATACATCTTTATTATCTTAGTAGCCTGGTTAGTTTTCATTTGTTTTGCTAGTCAGAATACACAGCAATTAAGCAAAAGACAATTTTAATTTTCCACCAAAGGTGGTTAAAACAGATAAGTAGTGAACAATCTTTTGACCTAATATGCATTGATAGATTCAGAGAGATTAGAAATTTATCTTACTGACAAGAATTGTTTGTATGTACTTGTAGTTTTAGCATAACCTCTAATAGCCTGTTAGAAGTCATTTAATTTTTTTTGTATCATTCTGTGTATTTCTGAAACTAAGGAAGGAGGAGATCAAGGTTAGGTGATCTCTAAGTTGTCTTTCAAGCCCAGAAATTATGTATTCTCCTAATAATGATAATTAATAGATTATGACTGTTAGCGAGGAGTGTTTGTCCCCAATAAGATTAATTTGTTTGAAATATATTATGCATTACCTCCTGTGTTCCAGATACTGGCTAAGACAGTAACAAGTCAGACATCTTTCACACTTTCCATCTTATTAGGGGAAAAGGCAGAAAAATAAAAGGAGCTAAATATACTGGGGCTGTTGTAGAGATTACTTTAAGGCCTATCAGGGCACAGGGCTGCAGGATCCCTGGGGAATGGCCTGTGGTGAAAGGGCCTGATTGTGAGGCTGAAGTATAGTTCTGTGATATGAAGGCCCTGGGTACAATCCGCAGCACCACACAAAATAAATAAGGAGGGAGGGACCACCAAAGAAGGCCTGAGCAGTGCAGCTGCAGTACAGTGATGAGGCAGCAGCTTGACTGCTGTGGCTAGTTGTGGATGAGGAAGTAGAAAGAGTGGCTCCTCTTTTTCCCAAGGAACCAGAATACAAACAGAAAATAATGGAAGAGGAAACATTATAGGGGTTGGCTTTTTAAATGAGAGTAAAGAGCCAGTGTAAATGGTTATGGGGAAAGAGCGTTAGAGAGGAAATGTTTGTTCTAGAAGAAATGAAGATGTAATGAAGAACAAACCTAGGAACAGGGTAAGGAAACAGGGATAGGTGAACCGATAAACATGTGCTAACAAACAGCAAAATATTACAGTGCAAAATATTAGTTGTGACATCTAGAAAGTAAAATTCCTTGTATTTTTCTGCATGTTTCAAAATTTTATAATATTAAAATTATTTTGTAATATTTGGGGGAAGAACAGCATCGATTGAGAGTTTGGCCTTGAACTTGTTTAGTCCTTGATATGGCAGGAAATTACTCAAGGTTCTAGTTGATACATGTAATCCATATGCCTACCTGCCTGGCTTTTACCATCAGTGCTACATGCATGACTGATTGGGCAGCTTTTTATTAACTACATTAGTAAAAAGACCAATAAAAGTGCTTGGATCCTTTTGTACCACTAGTGGTACGAGTCACCCAGTGGGACAATCACGCATATACTACTGGTGGTTCAAGCTAGTGAAACAGGTTGAAGCCTTTCTTTTGTGGTAAAGTAAGAGTCACATATCTCCTGCTGAGACCAACAATCAGAACAAAAGCATTGAGAGTGAAAAATAAAATAATCACTTTGGCAAGTCAGAAGGGACTGAGCAGAACTGAGCTAAGGAGGAAATGGTGATGCTCAGGTTCACTGAAGTTGTTTTTTTCTGCCGTTTTCCCTTGTCATCAGGAAACTGTAGGGTAGCAGGAGCATTAATGGGCTGTAAAGTTTAAGAAAGGGAGACTAGGATGAGTAAATGAAATAAATGATTCCTTCCATTCCTTACCAACAGTCTTGTCTTCTGCATGGAGGATTCTTTGTGCTCTCTCATTATCTATTTGAATTACATAAGCTAAAAACCATGTTATAAATTTCAGTAGTGTCATTTATCTGATATTTTGTTGTCTTCCTTAGGTAAAAGAAGAACGTCCAGAAAAGATACCCGATTTAAAATTATTAGTGGAGCAGAAATTTTTGGCTTTACAGAGTAAGAATTCTGATGCAGACTTTCAAAAGAATGAAAAATTTGTACAGTTTAAACAACAGCTGAAAGAACTACAGAAGCAGTGTAAGTCGGCATGCTTCGCTTTGGTTTGGCTTTTCAAAATGAGAGAACTGACTTAATCTGAGAAAATTGATGCTATAGAGTTTGCTTACCTGCTTGGCTTGATCTTCAGTTGCTTTTTATTATTGTTGCAGCCCCTTATTTTGTCTAATTTTTTGGTTCCAATTACCTTCCATTTTTGAGAGCCAACAATTCCCATTAAGTGCTAACAAACTTCCCCAGCACCTAAGGAAAGTTACATGTTATGTCCCACTATTGGGGAGAGGACTTGGAAAAACAATAAACTTAAAAACTATTTTATTAAATTAACGGTGGCTTTTGTAGGTTTTAAAAATCTTACTGTGCCAACTTTTAAAAATAACTATTACTTTGATTCTAGTTTTAGTGTTTGAAGTAGTGTTAGTGGTTTTCTTAGCTGAATTTTTTCTTGTTTATTTGTTTTCTCAAATAGACACTAAAATCTCTTTGATAGTTTATCTTTGTGGTAGTATAAATTCTATGTAATTATTAAATTTGTTTCCTTCTTAATAAACTGTTGCATTTAGATTTTTTAATGAGCATAATCTTAATGAGAGTGAGGAAAATTACTGAGTGTACAAAAATATGTTTGTAGGCAAAATTTGCCAGAAGTAGTGTAGTGTATCTTTTCTGCACAATAAATATATCCTTTCTTTCCCCCATGATCCATATAGCAATGTTATATAAATTGATTTTATAGTAGCATATATTTAATTGTAGTATTTCTTTCATGATTGAAATTCTTTTACTCCTCAAAGAATTGAATAGTGAAGCAAATAACTTTTTACACTTATTTTCCCATTACCTTCATTTACATACATATGGAATAAGAATGTATGATATGAGACACAATTCATTTCATGCCCTTAATACATGCTTAGAGATTCATATTTTGAAATAGGCTTTCTTTTAAATATAAGCATTTTTTAAAACAATTGATGCTGAGACCTCAAAAAGTGACTGAGTAAGCTGCTTTACTTTTGTCTGTTTTACAAATAACTTGTTTCACAATTTGCAGTGTTTTGCAATCATTATGAGACTTTTGCTTTTACTGTAGATTTCAAAAGTAAGCATTTTGCCTGTTTAAGTTATGTTTTTGTTCTTTATTGAATATTATGGCTACCAAAATCTTTCTAATGTAATTGACATCATTCATTCAAATGGCTAATAATCCACAGAACAAATAATAATTTTCTAGTGGCTCTCTAATTTTTGCTATTGAATTTCAGTTTTGATGTTGGTCGAAATAGCCAAATATGTTTTATTGTACTACCTGGAGTCAGTATTCACATTGTGACAGACTTAGCATCCAATTGTTAGTCCTGTTTTTTAAGATAGTTTTAATACAGATTGAAAAATAAATATCCAACAATATAAAAATATAAATTTCTTCTGCTATTATTGTTCTTAGTTATTATTCTTTAAGAGAAATTATAAAGACTTTTAGGAAACATTTTCCTAAAATAATAAATGCTGGAATCATGATTATTGGTTTTTAAATTTTCTCTAAAATGAGAAAATTCCATCTTATTAGGGGAAAAGTATCTGAATATTACTGGGGCAGTTGTAGAGATTACTTACAGTGAGAGTAAGGAGGAGGAGGAAAGACGATATAAAGAGAAAAAGATTTCTCACATTGTTTGAATAGTTAAATCTAATGACAAAAGTAAATTTATATTGAAAGAAATGCTTCCTTATGTAAGGTTTCCCCTCATATTTTAACACTGGAATTAAAAGAACTTTCCCTTTAATATCCCCTAAAATATTCTTTTAAAAAATGGAAAAGGAAAATTCTTAAATTTTCAATGACAGAAGATATAAAATATTAATAGTCTTGTAAAATGCTCTTGTAAGATGTACATACCTTACATGCAGAGTGGACTTCTCCATGCAGTATGAGTGCTGTCAGCTAACTTGCACCATTTCCAGTAGAGTTGATTTCTTAGACTTAACTATGCTGCAAGGGTCCCAGTTAAGGTTGGACTCCTGCAGTGTTTATGGATCTAGATGATAGGTATACTGTGGCAAGCTGGTAAGGTAATGAATCTCTTTTGAGATGTGTTCTGGAGAGGAGTTCCAATAGTAATTTTTTGTTTTTAAAGATTGAAAAATATAAGCCTGGGAGAATAATTGCTTCCAGTTTCCTATTTTGGCAAAGTAAAGGCTGAAGTATTTCTACCAGTTCTTTCATGAAAATACCATGACATTCTCATCAACTTTATTATGGGAAAACATAAGTACATGGGATGAAATTTTACCCAACCAGGATGGGACTGAAGAAATGGCAGGAAGCTCTCTGGTGGGGAACCAAGGTGGTGCATCTAGTGGGTAGCTGTGGGCATTCAGTTGTGGCTTGCCTGCTGTAGCTCGGCAGCTTGTTTTTAGACTTTTTGGGCCCATGCTCAGTTTTTCTTTTTTCTTTCTTAGCAGTACTGGGGATTGAACCACTAATTTATATCCCCACCCTTTTTATTTGGGGAGAAAGTCTAGTTAAATTGCCCAGATAGGACTTGAACTTTTGATCCCCCTGCCTCAGTTTCCTGAGTTGCTGGGATTACAAGTTGTGCTATCCCACTCAGCCTCTTTTTATATTCTTAAAATTTTTTGAGTGTCCCCAGCAAGCTTTTGTTTATTGGGTATATCTGTTGATATTTATCATATTAAAAATCCAAGCTGAGGATTTTGGGGGCAGGGGCGAGACAGGGTCTTGCTCTGTAGTCTAGGCTGGCCTTGAAATCAGTGTGTAGCTTAGGCTGCTCTGGAACTCATGGCAGTCCTCCTGCCTCAGTCTCCCAAGTGCTGGTATTACAAGTATGCACCACTGAGGAAGTTTTTAAAAATACTAATTGATTAAAAATACTTGGTCATTGCATGTTAAATAGATCCGATGTGAAATATAACTACATTTAACAGTTACTGAGAAGAGTGGCATGGTTTTTATACCTTCATAGATCTCTTCAATTTCTGGCATCAAAGTCAGCCAGATCCCCATAGTTTCTTCTGCATTTGCCCCCTTGTAATACATTGTTTTGGCTAAAATAGACCAAAAAGATGTGGTCTTATACCTTGGTTGTTGCAGGACTTTGCACAGCAGTAGAAATGAGCCTTTGCACTGTGCTCTGTGTCCAGCCCTTCATTTTTCATTTTGTTTATTTTTCATTTTGAGACAGAATCTTGCTATTTTACCCAGACTGGGCTCAAATTTATGATCCTCCTGCCTCAGCCTCTCAGAGTGCTGAGATTCTAGGCTGTGCTACTATGCATGGCTGGGAATAATTTTTATATTTTTAAATTTTTGGTGGAAAAAAATTACATTTAGTGGCAAAAATTATATGAAAATCTAATTTTAGTCATTTTAGCACTCTGGAGGCTGGGGTAAGAGGATCACGATGAGTTCAAGGCCAGCTTAGGCTACATACAAGTTCAAGGCCAGCCTAGAAAAAAAAAAAAAAAGATAAAAATAAAGACCAATCAGTTTTCAGTCATTAGCTTTATCAGCTAAGCTCATTTGTGGACTTTATCTTTGAGGGTCTAGTGGAAAAGAAGCATAAACAAACCTAGAGAATATATGAGTAATCTTGGGCAACTTTAATTTTTTCCTGGAGTTGCAGTCTGATCCTTAAAAGTGTATTTTTCCTTGTCTCCTTCCCTGTCTTTATTTCTTCTGTTCTACCCCAGTGGCAGAGTGGAGTAGTTACGTCATCAACTGTGGCTCACAGAGCTTGTAATATGTACTATCCAACTCTACAGGAAACTTTCCTGATCTCAGATCTAAACATTGAGAAACAAGAATAGTTTCTTTAATTTCTTTTAATTTTAGATTTGTTTTTCCTAAATGCCATCCATTTGTCTCGAGTATTTCAGAATACATTGAGCTTCTATATTGTATGCATTGCTGCAGTTGATGCTCTGAAATGAATAAAATGCACTGTACTTGGAGAAGACAGTGTATACAGACATGAACTAATGTGAGAGCTGTTAATAACAAATATCAACTCAGTGCCAGATTTCACCCACTGTGCTCATTTCACCAGTCATCAGCAGGACTGTGGAGCATTGAATTCACAGAACAGTTCTGAGGCTGGCTGCAGCCCCACAGGAAGGAAGGACAATCCAGGGGTCTTGCGTGTACCGTCCCTGGAATACAAGCCTAACACATATTCTGTACTCGTTTAAAGATATTATTTCATTAGCGGTAATATATATTAGTTGCGCCTACTAGTTTTTAGTGCTTATGTCTTACAGTTATTACTACATATTAGATGGGCTTCTCTAAATAAATCATTATATCCATTCAATACCCAGTGGTCTACATATTAGAGAAAATTATGTTAGCCTCTGTTTGTTTCGCAGTTATTACCCAAAGTGGGGCAGCAGCTCGGCTGTTTGCTTTTGGCCTTTTCTGACCAAGTGATTTTGGGAGGTGGCTGTCACCAGATTCTGATGCCTATAGTTAACAAGGATTCCAGGTTTCCTTCAGTCCTGTTGCTGAGGAAGGGAGATGAGTCTTGGTGTAAACAACCTGAGCCCTTCCCCCTTCTGATAATACCCTGTGGCTGTCTTTCACTTCATAGTGAAGTAAAGCCATGGCTAGTTATTTATTTTATTTCTATCTGTTTAAATGTCTGTGTATGTTTCTTGGTATCTGTCTATTAGTTATTTACTTTTGCAGTACTGAGTCTTGAACCCAACCTCTTTAACCTGTAATTGCCTCATCAGACTTTCTTCCCACATACTCACTAAAGTCTCACCAAGTCACTGAATGGGCTAGGTTAGGCTCCATCTTGTGATCTTCTTGTCTCCTTGATCCAGAATGCTGAAATTACAGTCAAGCACTACCCGCCTGAATTCAGAAATAGCAAAAATAAACCTAGATAAGATTTCTGTGGTTTTGGCATTTGTGACATTTTCAGTTTGAAGGCCACAGATGTACATTGACACTTTCAGTGACAAAGAAGGCATATACTCTGAAGATGCAGAGCTTT